TAGGGGATTCCTGAGACTAGTTCATACTCTTTCCAATGAATAGAAATGTGTGGTGCTGTATATAGAGCTTCATTTCAGCCACCACCCAAGTGGTTCAGAAAGATGAAAAAGAAATTTCAGTTTGTGTCTCTCGACAGACATTGAGGAGGACCCAATCCATAATTCCTGCAGCACTTTCATTTCCGCCTCCCCTGGTGCTGCACTTGTAGAGATGGTTGCTCTCGCCCTCCTTGTCTTTTGTTCTTGTTACGCAGAATGGCTGGATCATGGAGGCAGAACCTTCCCTCCCTTCCTATTTCTCAATGTCCCATGCGTCAAGCCCCGGTACCCAGAATTCTTGGCAGGCTGGCAGAAGGGGGAGTCCTGAGAACCTTCTGACATTCAGAATTTTTTCTGCTGTCAACTCTATTTGGGGAAATGAGATTCAACTCAGGAAGTCATCAGAATTGTCATGATATTATTATGCAAAGGATCTCATTACAGCGTCATCTTCTTGTTTTTAAGTTATAATCTAGTTTTGGGCCCAGGCAGGAAAAAGCAGTGAACTTTCTTTTGAAAGAGCCTTGATTCTACTTGCTGTTGTCATGCTGATTTAAGGATTTCCTGGACTCTGCATTTCAGAAGCTTAGTGGTGAAGCAGGCAGCTTCGAGAATCACATCGCTCCTGCCTGAATTCTCTCCATAGCTCCACTGCTTACAAAGTCCTGTTGGGCAATTATGTCATCTTTTTCTCATCTGTAAAATAGATAACGATGATTAGAGTAATAACAAAAAAGATAATTAGTATTTATGAAGTACTATTACTATATTATGAAGTACATACTGTGCCACACGCTCCCCTTACGTCTCCCAACACTCTGGGAGGGGGGATACGCAGTGCCTCGGGGTGACTGACGCATGGTGGTGCCAAGTGCCAACACGCACCGAGCTTCCCTGTGCCCCGGGCTCTGTTGTGCACCGTCTTCATTCCTAGATTCAGAGATTGAAGCTTAGGCAGGGGGATTCACTTGCCCCAGCCCACATGCTGTTCTGTGCGGGACCAGCATGAGACCCGTGTGGTGAGGTGCCAGGTCCTGCTTACTGCCTGCTCCATGGCAGCTTCCCAGGAGTAAATCAGATGACCCTGTGAAATGCTTAGCACAGAGGCTGGCCCAGAGCAAATGCTCAGACCATATCTGTTTTAGTTATTGGTGAAGCCATAGTTTTTCTACTAAAATGGAGAACTTCCTCTTCTGGGACTTAGAAGTCCCATTCCTGATAGCATTATCAATGAGAGCTCACGTAGATCTTACACCTGGCCATGGTCTACTTACACCTGCAGAGTCTCCCCCCACCCTCCAGATATCTCTGTGGTACCCACATCAGCATCCCCAAGGGCCTTCCTTGCCCTTGTTGACTTGAATTACTTGGCCAAAAAATGTGGCACCTTGAGTAGAGGGAAACCAGGAGTGTACACTTTTGTTTCAGTTTTTTTTCTGTTAAGTTGATTGTATTACTACCTCGTAGGTTGTAGGCATGGTTCGATTTTGAGGGAAAGGGAAGCATGCTAAGTGTGTGTGTGTGTGTATGTGTGTGTGTGTGTGTGTGTGTGTGTGTGTGTGTGTAGAGCCATTATCTGTGATGGGTGCCCCTGCAGGCCTGGCACCTGCAAGAGAGGCCTTATGCTCCGGGACATGGCCCTGGTTCAGTAACTTAAGGAACTACAGTAGATTAGATGGAGCCTGCGGCAGTTGAGAACATGTGCTCAGAGGGGGCCACAGCCAATGCCCACTTCAGTGACTGTAACCCCCCCCAGTCCACACACAAACGAGTACCACTGTGGAAGGTGGGCAGGTGTTCTGAAGGGGCCTTTCTAAGAAGCAGCAGCATGAACAACCAGTATATACCAGGGCATCTCAGCCTCACGACCTCTACAGACACACAGCCTAAGTGAGAAATTTTAACCTGTGCTGGGGTTTAGGGAAATCAGTGCTCTCGTACATGTGGGGCGAGTGTCCATTGACAGAGCTGTTTTGGAAAGCACTTTGGCAACATCTGTCCAAAGGGTGCGTCCAAAAATGTGCACACCCTTTGACTTAGAATTTCATCTTCCTGAAACTATTCTTTTAAAAAAGCCTCCATGATTCCACAAGGACTATCAGAAAGCAGCATTTGCCACAGCACTGTTTGTAAAAAGGAAAAATGGGAAACAATCTAGATGTTTATCAATAAGGCAGTGCTCACTTATGGGACAATCTGTGCTGACAGATTATGCATCTATTAAGGTGCATCATGTAGATCTTTATGTGCTGCTAAGATGGCCAACTTTTTTTTTTTTTTTTTTTTTGGAGAGATTTTCACTGTAGGGTGTGTGCGCTCGCCAGACAGACAGAGACATAGAGACAGAAAGCGAGAAATCACCCCCCAGGGGGGATGGTCATGCCGCAATCCCTTCTCCTCCATTCTCCTCTCGGGATCTTGGGCACGCACGCACACGCGCCCGGCGTGAGTTTTAAGCCACCGGGTCCGGGACACGAACCGCGGTCGACTACGTGGGAGTCCAGCGACATAGCCATTACGCTAACTGCTGGTTCCCAAGATGGCCAACTTTTGAGAAAACTGTAAAATCATGTATAATCTCTTTTTCTAAAAAAGTTTATAGCTACAATTAAACTAGTCTCATGTAGACAAAATGATCATTCTTTCATGAATCTAAGGATTTTTAAAAAATATTTGCATGTGTCAGCATTTTGAAAGTTGGGAAATCAGTCTGAATTCATAAAAATCCAAATTATAGATGTAAAAGCAATATAACTTTACATGTTCAAACCCTCAAAAAGGTTCTAGGTGGGAGTAAATACCATCATTTGAATAGTCAACTAATTGTTCCAAATAGATAAGCACTTGTTTTCAAAAATGCTTTCTGGGGCCAGCAGGTGGCATGGTGGTTAAGGCAGCTGGGTTCTGTGTGACCAACTGCGTGGTTTGAGTCTCAGACCCAATAGCTTGAGGGACACACTGGGCGATTTTGCATGCATGCCCAAAATCCCAAAAAGAGAATGGAAGAAAAGGGATTTAAGTGTGACTGTTCCCCATGTGGGGTAGGGGGTGCTCGCTCGCTCTCTTTCTCTCTGTCTCTGGTGAGTATACATACCATATAGCAAAGTTTGGGGTAGAAAAATGGAGGAAAAGGATATCCCATCGGGGGTGTTTTTTTGTTTTCTCTTTCTTTGGCTAGCACACATACCTTCTGGCAATGCAGTAATAGATCCAGGTGATCCACTGGGCTTCCATGTGGCCGACTGTGGTTCGGATCCTGGACCTGGAGGCTTGAAACTCATGCCAGGCATATTTGTGTGCGTGCCCAAAATCCCAAGAGAAGAATGGAGGAGAAAGGATTGTGGTGTGGCTATCCCCCCGGGGTGGGGGATGATTTTAAACTTTTTGTCTCTGTCTCTTTGGTGCACCCTATAGGAAAAATATCTCAAAAGTATATATCCAGGTGATCAAAAATGCTAAAATTGTAGATTACACCTTGATGAACATTTACAGTCGTTGATCACTGGAATTTTACTAAATCATGTGCTGTGGAGGAAATTATTTCACAATGAGTCCCGGTGGTTTAGCCATTGTTCAGAGGTCCTCTTCCTCATTTGTACTTCAGCATTTCACATGCTCGATCATAATATTTAGGAATCTACTGAACTCAGCAAAACATTGCAGTTCTATCATCTGAGCCTAGTCTAGACCGGTGAGTTTGCTTTCTTTGGGAAATCAGGAATCATAGCAGATATCATAAACAGCATATCTAAGCCCATCTCATGACTCTTCTTTCAAGCGGTATGTTTCCTGGAAGTGTTGTCCCTGTGCCTGCTGTCTGAGGCACTCATGCTGTGGTGCTTGATCAAACCTGTAATCTGGGGACCAGCAGTTAGAGTAATGGCTATGTCGCTGGACTCCCATGTAGTCGACAGCAGTTCACATCCCAGACCCGGTGGCTTAAAACTCACACCGGGCGCGTGTGCATGTGTGCCCAAGATCCCAAGAGGAGAATGGAGGAGAAGGGATTGCGGTGTGGCCATCCCCCCTGGGGGGTGATTTCTCGCTTTCTGTCTGTCTGTCTGTCTTTCTGGTGAGCGCACGCGCCATATAGCAAGCCCCCCCCCCCAAGGAAAAAAGCTGTAGTCTGTACTGATTCAAAGATACACAGTGCACAGAAATGGCTGTTGGAGGCATCTCTAGAGGCCCCTGGTTCGATTGCCTGTGCTGTACCGGGCTGACTGAATCCACGTAACTGTTCATGAATTCAGCAGACATTGTGTAAGAACCCAGCCTGTGCTGGGCTCTGCACTGGTTCTTAACTTACTCCACAGGGTCAGTATTTTGACCTTCATTTGGAGTTGGGAAAATCAGGATAAAAAGGAGTTAGATTCCACAGTCACACAACTCGATGAAATAGGAAAAGCAGGTTTGAATCCAGGTCTGAGAGATTCTCAGGCCCATACCCTTTATGTTCACTATCCCTCTTTAATCTCGTGGAACAAAGATGTTCTTATAAATGACACTGATTGCAGGAGAATGAGGCATTTTTTAAATTTTTACATTGAACTTTTTTTTTTCTTTTTTTGAGAGGTTTTCACCATAGGGCGCGTGCACTCGTCAGACAGACAGAGACAGAGAGACAGAAAGCGAGAAGTCACCCCCCAGGGGGGATAGTCACACCGCAATCCCCTCTCCTCCATTCTCCTCTCGGGATCTTGGGCACGCAAGCACACACGCCCGGCGTGAGTTCCAAGCCACCGGGTCCGGGATGCGAACCGCGGTCGACTACGTGGGAGTCTAGCGACATAGCCATTACACTAACTGCTGGTTCCCTACATTGAACTTTTGAATACTTTAAAAATGTTATGCAAATCACTGACACATACTTCGCAGGTCATTGTATCGTGTGTGTATTTTTTTCCCCTTAAACAAGCAGACTTACATAATTGTGCTGTGTGTTATTTTTAATTTTTGTAGGAAGTGACCAAGCGCACTCCTGGACACTAGCTACAAGCCAAGCTTTCGATGTTGTCTGGAAGATAACGAAGGGCTTCGTGATGGGGGCGGTTTCGTTTCTGGCAGCTGCACTCTGCTACTTCAGGAGGCTGCATTTATATTTAGGGCACTGGCTGAAATGGTAGGTCATTGTAGTTATTGTCTTGAAATTTCAAAAATACCTGAATTAGTAAAAGCAGAATTTTAATATTATTGTTCTCTCTTTTAGGTGGATTGGCTATCTTCAGAGAAAATTCAAAAGTAAATATTTTCATGCATGTTTCCTTATTTTGAAGGTGCCGCGAGAGCTCAAGAAAGGAAGAGAAAGGGAAAACTAACTGCCTTTTATGTTTGATTTGGTCCAGGGAACCTCAGCGTGGAGGCGGAAGTTGATTTACTCAGTTATTGTGCAAGAGAGTGGAAAGGAGAGACGCCCCGTGCTAAGCTGATGAGGAAGGTGTGTCTATTTATAGGGATTATGGAAGACAGAATTCGTCCCGCAGAATCAGGAAAAAACTTTCCATTCTACTTTAGTAAATCCAAAAGTCAACAAATAGCAAATCCAATGCAAGTAACAATTGTGGCTCTAATTTAAAAAACCAAATAGCTGTTAGACATTGACTCTGGGCCTTTTACCTAGAGCTATGCCTTCAAGGACTTGGGTAAACTAGGTCTGTAATTTCAGGAAACTTCACCGTTGTGCTTTTTTGGGATCTTCTTGGCCAGGCTATTAAACATCTGCATGTGCAGTGGACACCGTCCTTGTAGGGATCAAATAACCAGACATAAAGTATATTGCGCTCGCCAGACAGAGAGAGACATAGAGACAGAAAGCGAGAAATCACCCCCCAGGGGGGATGGTCACGCTGCAATCCCTTCCCCTCCATTCTCCTCTCGGGATCTTGGGCACGGACGCGTGAGTTTAAGCCACCGGGTCCGGGACACGAACCGCGGTCGACTACGTGGGAGTCCAGAGACATAGCCATTACACTAACTGCTGGTTCCCAAGAAATTTTACAATTTCCATTAGACCAGTCTTGGTCAATATTCCCAACAGTGCTGCCCAATCTTGTCACTAGCAAAAGCAAATAAAAGGGAGAGGGGAGTATATTTAAAGCACTCCTTAGTACAGTATAGTCTTAAAAGTATATTTAAAAAAAATTGGAATAATAATAATAATGATCAGGAAAAATAATGAAAAGCTATTAGGGATGAAATGGGGATTTTTAATGTCTCTGTGTTGACTAATATGCATGGTATTCCTTCTGGAAAAAGAAATGTAATACCCTATAAAGTTATATGTGATTCAATATAATGTAAACAAGATTATGATGATAATAAATTTTAAAAATGCAAAAAAAAAAAAAAGTATATAGTCTTGAGCAAGCAGGCGGCATGATAGTTAAGGCGCTAGACTCCCACGTGGCTGACCATGGTTCGAGTCCCAGACCTGGTGGCTTTCTCTCTCTCTAGTGAGTGCATGCGCCCAATAGGAAATTTTTTAAAATAATAAATAAAATTAAATAATTTTTTAAAAGTATGTAGTATTTTTCACTGTGGTTAGGTTGCACCTGTTAGTTGTCCAAAGTGACCTGCCCTGGCTCTGGGCTTCCAGGACTTACCATCTAAACACATCACAGATCCTATGTACACAAAGGACACTTTATAATGACATGCAGTCATAGTCATAATTTGTCATTGTTTCTGTTGTCCACTTCAGTTGGGAAGAATACCCCTGAAAATGAAATGAATTCACTTTTTTAATTCTCTTGTCTAGTGAAATTAACGAACACCTTTTTCTTTTGGTGCTGCTAGGCTTATGAGGAGCTGTTTTGGCGACATCATATTAAATGTGTCCGGCAAGTAAAAAGGGATAACTACGATGCTCTAAGATCAGTGTTATTTCAGATATTCAGCCAGGGCCTCTCTTTTCCATACTGGATGAAAGAAAAAGACATTGTTAAGGTACGTCTTCACGCTGGTAACTTGGGAAACGTCATGTTGACGATGCCTGCAACCCAGAAGTTCCTAGTCTTCTCTGGGTGGCTTGGTATTCTGAGGATCATGAGGTTGAATGAACTTTGAGAGTTCATTTAATGCAGCCTACAGGCTCTCAGGTCAGTTTGTAAATAAACCACCTCAGAGAGATAGTCATATCGAGTTGTCTGGCTTTAATGTCGCTATCTTTTCTCAAGGGGCATCTGTCCTTTGTCATAAAGTGGTCTAGTAAAATGCACATTTTTACCCTGCAGTTCTTTTGAGGTTTAATAAATGCATCTAGTGTGTAACCACTACCTGAGATTCTCTTGTATAACATTGCAATTAGTCATTCCCCAACCCCTAATCCCTGGCAACCACTGATCTGTTTTCTGTCTTTATATTTTTGCCTTTTCTAGAATGTCATATAAATGGGATCATCCAGCCATTTTGAATCTGGCTTCTTTCATTTAACACCATGCTTTAGCAATTGTACATGAATAGTTCATCCCTTTTTATTGTTGACTGATACTCCTTTACAAGAGGGTAGTACCGTATGTTTATCCATTCATCATTTGATGGACATTTCGATTGTTTCCAATTTTGGCAACTATGAATAAAGCTATTATAAATATTCTCATATAGGATTTTGTATGAACATTAGTTTTCCTTTCTTTTGGGTGAATACCTAAGAGTGAGATTGCCTGGTGTGGTAGTTGTGTGTTTAACTTTATAAGAAAATGCCAAATTGTTTTCCAAAGTGGCATAGCTTGTTCTGTTCCCACCAGTAATATATACGAGTCCTAGTCGCTCCACATTGGTATTATCAGATTGTTTTGTTTTCTAGCCGTTCCAGTAGATGCGCGTAGGCATCACGGTGCTTTAGTTCACAACCCCCCCCGAGGAGTGATGTTGAGCACCTTTCCTGTGTGTGTTTGTTATCTCCATTGTCATCTTCAAGTGTCTGTCCAAGTCTTTTTTTTTTTTTTTTTTTGCTATAAGGTGCATGTGCTCGCCAGACAGACAGAGAGAGACTTAGAGACAGAAAGTGAGAAATCACCCCCCAGGGGGGATGGTCACGCCGCAGTCCCTTCTCCTCCGTTCTCCTCTTGGGATCTTGGGCACGCATGCACATGCACCCGGCATGAGTTTTAAGCCACCGGGTCCGGGACTCAAACCGCGGTCGACTACGTGGGAGTCCAGCAACATAGCCATTACGCTAACTGCTGGTCCCTGTCCAATTCTTTTACTCATTTTTTTTTTAGTTTATTGTCATCTTACTGAGTTTTTAGAGTTCTTTATATATTCAGAATACAAGTGCTTTATCATATATGTGATTTGCATGTATTTTCTCCCAGTTTAGGACCTGTGTTCTCATTTTCTTCACAGTGTAAGGCAGTACATTCTTTTTAGTTTGTGTGTTTTTCTTTTTAAGAATTATTTATTTATTTCCATTTGTTGTTATTATTATGCTTAAAATTTGACCAGAGACAAGGACCAGCAGTTAGCGTAGTGGCTATGATGCTGGACTCCCATGTAGTTGACCGCGGTTCACATCCTGGACCTGGTGGCTTAAAACTCACACTGGGCGCGTGTGCGTGCGTGCCCAAGATCCCGAGAGGAGAATGGAGGAGAAGGGATTGTGGCGTGGCCATCCCCCGTGGGGGCCGATTTCTCACTTTCCGTCTCTCTGTCTGGCAAGCGCACGCGCTCTATAGCAAAAACCTCTCCAAAAAAAAAAAAAAATTTTTTTTGACCAGAGACAAAGAAAGAAAGAGAAAACGAGAAAGCAAGCTTCCAGGTCAGGACTCAAACCACGGTCAGCCATGTGGGAATCCAGTGGCTTTAACCACCACACCACCTGCCAGCCCCAAGCAGTATAATCTAGATGGATAAGCCAAATTTTAATTTTTATTGCAGTATACCTAATCTAGGATTTACATTTAAGGATGGAGGACCAAAGAAATTGTGTGTGTGTGTGTGTGTGCATATTTTCTATTCCCTTGCTATTTTGTATTTAAACTTATTTTTATTGGTTCTATTTTTGTCTAGCAAATACTTGTCAAATGTATGCACTTGCTGTCTCTGCGGATAGTTGCTAAAGACATAGATTACAATAGAAATCTTTGGCTTACGAGCTAAATTGAGTGGGAAAATGTATTGGATATCTACTATGGGTTAGATTTTTTTACATGCACCATAATCTTATTTAACCCCTTCAGGAGCCCTATAAAAATGGACATCATTATCCATACTTTACAGTGGAGGAGGTGGTTACGAGGGAAAATAACCCATGCTAGTTAAGTCCTCTCAGCTGCGAGTGGGAGCCAGCTAGGTTTGAGCAGCAGAGTGCATCATTCTGAAATCTGCCTGTTCCCTGGTGTAACACTGTTCTAGCATCATTTGGTTGAACTTCAAAAGGCTATATGTAGGAAGTTTGATAAATATTGTATGTAAAACAATTGTTTCTATGGACATAATCCTTTATTCAGGTTTTTGTCACTTGTGAAATTGCAAGGTAAGACTATGATCCAAAAATTGCCTGATCAACAAATCTAAAAATTACTATATACTATTTTTACTCAACTGTCTTTACGATCCTTTTAAGTGGAGATTGTTAAATAAGAAAAGATTGATTCTCTGACATATTCCAAATTGTGTAAGAGACGTTGAAATACTACTCACTGTTGGCATCTACTTCCTTTGCAAGCTTCCTGAGAAACTGCTATTTTCACAAGGTTGTAATTGGATCCAGCAATACAGTTTTGGTCCTGAGAAGTATACAGGTTCGAACGTGTTTGGGAAATTACGTAAATGTGTGGAGTTACTGAAAATGCAGGTGAGTGTTTAGAGGGGGAAAAAGACTGGGAATGAAAACACGGAGCCGGGTATAGCCAGTTCCTCTACTCTCAGGCATATCACTTCATTAGTCAAGTAAGAAATGCAAACGGAAGTGTTTCCCCTAGTAACTGATGATTTCTCCTCTTTCTTCTCTGGTTCTTCCTTTCTCTTCTAAGTAACGAGCGAGAGTGACATAGTTCTAATGATGGCTAGGTCTGTTGTGGGGTAGGGTGCGTCTATGCACTGGCCTGGCAGCTTCACCAGTCACATACCTTTGTTTCTCCAGAAGAGGGTGGTACAATTGCTAGATCAAGACACTCAAAAATGCCCTTTGTTTTTGTTTTTGCTATGAAGTACATATGCTCACCAGAGAGAGGATAGAGAGAGATAGGGAAAGTGAGAAACCACCCCCCCCACCCCCAAGGGGAATGTCCACACTGTAGTCCCTTCTCCTTTAATCTCCTCTAGGGATTTCTGGGCATGCATGCACATGTACCTGGCATGATTTTCAAGCTGCTGGGTCCAGGACTCAACTCCCACAGTCAGCCATGTGGGATCCTGCACCTTAACTTCCACACCAGCCTGCTAGCCCAGAAATGCTCCTTATGCTTGTACCCTATTAGTAGCTTGGGGGTGGCATAGGTATAATAATTTGACAAAGAATTCTTCATGCCTTTTAATAATGCATGGCTTCCAGGTGAGTAGGATGAATCCTGAGCCCACCACTTACTGGCTGGATTACCTTGGGAAATACCTTAACCTTTCTGAGCCATAGTTTTATTATCTACAAAAGAGAGATATGGATGAGTGTACCCTCTATGGTTATTGAGGACCTAGTGAATAATTCACAGAGCGCTTTAAACTGTGCCCGGTACGCTGAGTGTTGAAGAACACTAGCGCTGTTCTTCGCTAGAACCCAGCTGTCCTAGTCAGTTACAGAAAACTGACTTGTTTAGCACTGTGCCTAATAGGTGGTGATATTTTGAAAAAATATTTGATTTGAATTAGTTTGTTATTGTCTAAGTTGTGTGTGTGTGTGCACATGCACTTGCGTATGTGTGTTATGTTTTAGAGTTATTGAAAATGCAGGTGAGCGTTTGTGGGGGAAGAGACTAGGTAGTTGTTACTACAAAATACGACACACTAGGTGGCTTAGAGAGTAAGCGTTTCTTTTTTCCAGGTCTAGAGGTTGGAAAGCCCTCTTCTTGGTTTATGGAGGGCTGTCTTCTTGCCGTGTCTTCACAGAGTGCTGACTGGCTCTCTGACCTTTTTTATATAGCCACCAATCCCATTCATGAGGCTCCACCCTCATGATTTAATCACCTCCCGAAGGTTCCACCTCCTGGCCTCACCATGGGATTAGGGTTTCAACATATGAATTTATGGGTGGAGTACACAAACATTCAGTCTACTGCAGTGTACTTACTAGTAAAAAAAAAAAAAAAAAATCAGTCAATAGATATAAAGTGAAAAGTTAAAAATCCATTCTTACTAATCCTGTGTTTCTTGTACTTATGCCATGGTGTATGTATTTACTTTTACCCGTCTAAATTTTGCTTTGATATCGGTTTTCAGTGGACTGAATTCAGCGGAATTAAAGATTATCACAAGAGAGGAAGTATGTGCAACGTCCTTTTTTCGGATGCCATTCTGGAATATAAACTTTATGAAGCTTTAAAATTCATCATGCTCTATCAAGTCACTGAGGTTTACGAGCAAATGAAGTCTAAAAAGGTCATTCCCAGTCTTTTCAGAGTCCTGTTTTCCAGGGAGACATCCTCTGATCCTTTGAGCTTCATGATGAATCACCTGAATTCTGTGGGTGACTCGTGTGGACTCGAGCAGGTGAGTGTGCGGCGAAGGCCGAACTGGCAGTACTTGTGCACACAGGCGTGTGGGGCTTACTTTCAGGAGAGAATATCGACTGCACAGAGGAGGGGTGCTGCTCTCAGCGCCCTCCGGTGAGGAAAAGGAGAGTCACAGCCCTCACTGTGCGGTGCTGGTTGCTCCGTGTGGCTTCAGACCTGTATCCAGAGAGAACTCTCTCTCGCAGCTTCTCTGCCCATTGGTTCTATGCCACAGAGGTTAGCCTGGAAAAGGACCAATTGGAAAATGGGAGTGTATTTGGTTACCCAGTGTAGGTAAATGGAAATTACTGAAACTTTTTGAATCCAGAAAATGTTTTTATCCTGATAGAAAAGGGGTCCTTTCTTTTTTTTTTTTTTTTTTGCTTTCCTAAAGGATGAGTAAAAAAAAAAAATTTTTTTTGAGAATTTTGCCGTGGGGGTGTGCACTTATTGGAGAGAGAGACAAAGACAGTGAGAGGAAAAGTGAGAAATCACCCCCCAGAGGGGATGGCCATGCTGCAGTCTTTCTCTGTTCTCCTCCTGGGATCTTGGGCATGCACGCACATGCACCTGGTGTGAGTTTCAGGCCACCAGGTCCAGGACTCAAACTGCAGCAGGTCGTGTGGGAGTCCAGTGACATAACTGCCATGCCATGTGCAAGCCCAAGGATGAATAAAAGTTTATGAACATTTTTACACAAATTGATTTAAAATGCTCTAAAACCTGATGGAAGATTGCCATTTTTACTGTGTGCGTTCCTTTCTTTTTTATTAACTTTTTTTTTCTTACAGATAGGTTTGGCCTGTGATTTCCTCGTACTAGTCTAGAGAGATGCTTCTATGCTGTCCCCTTCCTCCCTTCCACACAATGGCCATTTGTTCCCCACTCTGTGCCCACTCAGTGGCTTATGGGTGGGTCTGTCAACAAGTTCATTATTTCAGAAGCTGCCGAAGAACTTCCACTCCATTGTGGTAGGAGGCAGGAATGTGAAAATGTGTATTTGTGACCTCTCTTTCATCTCATCCCCAGATTGATATGTTTATACTTGGATACTCCCTTGAAATAAAGATAAAAGTGTTCAGACTCTTCAAATTTAACTCCAGAGACTTTGAAGTCTGCTACCCAGAGGAGCCTCTTCGGGAGTGGCCAGAGATCTCCCTGCTGACTGAGAATGACCGCCACTATCACATTCCTGTCTTCTAAGTGACTCGCCAGTGACAGTGGTCATATTTGTGATGAACATGGTCCCGAAAACCAGAGTTGACGTTTCAGCCTTGGAAGGATTTAGAGCCTTTTTCTTCAAAATTTCAGGTACACTGGATGGAGTAGTGCAGATGTTTTCCCTTAGTTTTAAAGTGATTTTCTCCAGAGTAGCTGCGCTGACGTATTTGGAGGTTGGTGTTTTTGACCTCGTTTGGGAGGAGTCGGTCAATCACACGTGGCAGGCCTTTAAGAATCTAAGGAAGTTTCGTGGTCCACATCAGGAAAAAGGAAGAAAACAAACATGTAGGGAACCACAGCTAGCCTGGAAATTATTTATTTATTTCTGACATTCATTTGAGAATCTCATCTTGGGCTGATTTTGGGTCATCAAAAATATGACATTATTTTATAAGTGTTATCTTCATCTTCCCAGGAATCTTTGTTGTATATTAATTTTTTAGAACCACTCGATTAACTTTAAGATGGTGCATATATAAATGTGTATGTGTGTGTATATATATATACACATACACATATATATGCACACACGTATGTATATATGTATGGTTTTATGTAAACATATATATATATACACACACACCTGTAGACATACACACACATAACCACTACTTTGTAATGTTGTACAGTCTATTTTATATATCTTTACATTTTTTGTTACTGTTGTATCTGACTAGCTTAATGGATTTTATTTAGATAAAAAGGTAAATGTTCAGATCTGTACCTTGTAGATCAAGACAATTGAATCACAATTATTGGTCTGTCACAAAAATATTAAACTGGCATATTTCTAATGTGTATTTACTTGTGTATTTTTTTTAAGAGAGATTTTTGCTGTAGGTGCATGTGCTCACTGGAGAGACAGAGAGACAGAAAGTAAGAAATCACACCCTAGGAGAGATGACCATGCCACAATCCGAGTCTCCTCTCGGGATTTTGGACACACATGCACATGTACCCAGCATGAGTTTCAAGCCATTAGGTCTGGGACTCGAACCGCAGTCAGCCATGTGGGAGTCTGGCAATGTAACTATTAGGCCATCGGCTGGTCCCTTACTTGTGTATTTTCATGTGTGGAATCTCACTGTGGTAGGCAGAATAATGGCCCCCTTCCCCAAAGATGTTTATGTCCCAATCCCCAGAATCTTGAAATATGTTGTGTTAATGGCGAAGGGGAATTACAGTTGCAGGTGGAACTTAGTACCCTGGAATAGGGAGAGTATTCTGGATTCTGCAAGTGAACCCACTGTGATCAGACACGTCCATAAAGTGGAAGGAGGAATCAGAAGAGTGTCAGAGCAGAGGGAAGTATAAAATTTGGAGCAGTTGCCAAGAGATGCACCACTGCTGCCTTTGAAGATGGAGGAAGAGGCTACGAGTCAAGGACTGTGGGCGGCCTCTAGAAACTGGACGAGGCAAGGAACCTGAACCAGACACTCCCCTGGAGCATCCAGAAAGAACACAGCCCTCCAACACCTTGATTTTAACCCACTGAAGGCCGCGTCAGACTTCTAACCTACAGAACTGTAAGGTGCTGGATCTGTGTTTAAGCCATTAAGCTTATAGTAACGTGTTTTATAGTAACAACGGAAAATGAAACATCTCAGTCTAATTTTTAGTCACCTTTATCTTGGAGTACTTTGCTAGTTTAGTTTAGTAATCTTGGAGGCATAGGTTGACCATTCCTAATCCAAAAATCTGAAATCTGAAATGCTCCAAAATTTGAAACTTTTGAGCACTGTGATGATGTCACAGTAAAAAATTCTGCGCCCGCCCTTATGTGATGGGCACAGTTAAAATACTACAGGACAAACAATACTGTGTAAAATTACCTTCTGTCTTTGTATATAATATGTATATGAAACAAATGAATTTCATGTAAATATTCTAAAGTCTGAAAAAAACCCAAACACTCTACATTTTAGTTGAGGGATACTCAATCTGTACTATGATCATCTATTTTGAATTTCGATAAATACAAAATAACTTTCAAATGTCTGTGGTTTTTCCTAACCCCAAAATTTAGTTGACACTGTCAGAAGTCATCCCCTTGATGTATTGGTGTGACCAAGAAATCTTGCTAATGACATACCACTTCAAAGTCACAAATCCCTTACCAAGAGAAATTTACTTACAAGGTGTTTGGCACTGACATTTTTACATGTGTTCATATTGTTTCTACAATGAATAAAAAAGAGATATGTTAAATGCTATGGCAAATGAAAGGAACATTAACATTCTTTTTTTTTTTTTTGAGAGGTTTTGCTATAAGGTGCGTGCATTCACAAGAAAGAGAGAGACAGAGAGACAGTGAGAAATCACCCCCAGGGGGGATTCCCACGCCGCAATCCCTTCTCCATTCTCCTCTCGGGGTCTTGGGCATGCACACACGCACACATACTCAACGTGAGTTTAAGCCACCAGGTCCAGGATTCAAACCACGGTCGACTACATGAGAGTCCAATGACATAGCCATTATGCCAACTACTGGTCTTGAACATTTACATTCTTTTGCAGTGAGGATGGTCAGATGTATGTACTACGTAAACCAGGTGTCTCATAATACATTGTGTCTGCTGCCATTCCAGTTGAAGATTAATGAGCTCAGAGCAAGGGGTCTTGCGTTACCTAGACAGCCACACAGGCCAAGAATTCTTAACTAACCTTTCCTGTTTGGAAATGGCTGTGGCTTTTCATAACCCCTGGCATTTAGTTCACTCTGCAGAAGTCATCCCCTTTTATTGCTGTGACCAAGAAACCATGAACTCTACCCTTTCTGTTCCCAAGGAGATGCAGTGCCAGCCTGCCGCAGGCCGCCAGGGCTGGTGTTTCTAGAACTGCTGCTCCTAATCTTGAGCTGTCTGGGTACTTGCCTGGCATTAGTATATTCCAGTGCACCCTGGATCTCCTTCCCTGTGTAATTATTTCCACATCAACTCGGCTGAATGGAAAAACTCTTTGACTAAGATTGGCAGCCTGTAGGTCAGTTACATCAGTCAATCCATTCCGCTTCTCCTAGGTGTGTATTGTGGGTGGGGTTGGGCGAGGCAAGAATTCTTTGAATAAAGGGTTAAGACCAAATTGTGAAGAAAGGACATTTCAATACAGTTACAGTACAAAGTGACACCGCAAGTCGTAGGGCTCAGCTACATGAGGCTGGGGACGTAGGGGAGGCCGGAAGTGGTGGCAAGTGCCTGTAATCCTGGCTAACTGGGAAGCAGGAACTGGAGGATCACAATAGAGAGGCCAGAGATACCATTCTTCCTCTCTGTCTCTCCTCTTGTCTCCCTCCTTCCTTTCTTACCACAACGGAGAGACCAAAGATAGCATTCTTTCTCTCTCTTCCTGTCTCCTTCCTTCCTTTCTTTCCCTTCTATGCTTGCTTGCCTGCCTGCCTGCGTCCCTGCCTGCCCCCAAACTTCTTCCTTTTCGCCCATAAAGGACATCACCTATTTTTTTTTTTTTTTTTTTAAGAGATTTTTTCTATAGGGCATTTGTGCTCGCCAGAGACACAGAAAGGAAGAAATCTCTCCCCAGGGGGATGGCCACACCACAATCCCTGTCCCTTCCCCCTCTCCCCTCCCCGGATTTTGGGCACACACACACACACACACACCTGGCATGAGTTTCAGGCTGGCAGGTCGGGTACTCAGACCAGAGTCCAAAGACATAACCCTTTTGCCATCTGCTGGTAACCCCTTCTATGCCTTAACCATCATGCCACCTGCTGGTCCCTATACTACCTTTTTGTATGAATATTTCCAACAGTTTTTTTTTTTTTTTTCTAGAGTGATTTTTGTTGTAGGGCATGTGTGCTCACTAGAGAGACAAAGAAAAAGTGAGAAATAACTCCTCCTGGGGAGGATGGCCATGCTGCAATCCCTTTTCCTCCATTCTCCTCTTGGGATTTTGGATGTGCACACCTGACATGAGTTTTAAGCCACTGGATCTGAAACTCGAACTGTGGTCGATTACGTGGGAGTCCAGTGACCCAACCGCTACACCATCTGCTGGTCTCTCCTACAGGTTTTAATGACCCTTAGTGGGGAAGTCCAGTGAGTGAAGGTTTCAGTGACCAAATGGATAAGGCAAATTGTGTTTGCTTTATCTCCAAATGGAGCAGTAATTGTGGGTTAGTGCTAGGTTCAGTTTAGAAGCACTACCATTTGGAAGGTCTCCAGAAACTTACTAATCCAGGGTCACTGTGGTGGCTCTAGTTTCTTGGGCAGGGATCTTCATGGTCTTGAACCAAAGTCACTGCTACCTGAGGGGGAGTCAGGGGAAAGTCAAGGGTGTAGGGGCTCCCTAGACCAAGATAGTGTGGAATGGGCCCAGCTTCAGAAGAGATCAGGACCATTTACATTAATTTTTCCAGGACTTTCCTGCAAATGGATTTTAGATGGAAATATTTGTTACTTTCTCAGAAGATTATCTCCTGTTTTCTTGAGATCCACAAAAGACTATTGTAATTGTGTCCAAGCTAGTCGTGGGGAGGAAAAATTTTTATCTTTTCTGACTACTCTGAACTATATTGGGAATTCCACATCAAAGAAGGTAAATTTTTTTAATGGATAATTAACCCAACATGTGAAAATCTATACAAACATGAATAGAGAAATGATTAATTTTTAAATTAGCAACAATTTTCTCTTAAATAGTACGTTTCTAACGATGTATGATACTGTTTACAAGAGTGTGTTTCACACTGCTTAACCAGACTACTTACTGCATAAAATTTAAATACACACACACACACACACATATATATAACTAGATCCATGAAAGTATGCTCACACAACTATTATAAATATTATCAACTATATTTTGGTGTACTTTCCTCTATAGCCAAACACTTTATTTTTACTTTAATTTTATTTAAATTGTTTATTCATTGTAATTGACAAATCATATAGCCAGTCACTCTCCTTCAAATCCTGTTTTTATCACAATGTCTATTTTACAGCTAGACACAAGATGTGGTGAGTTCAGATTGTACAATCGTGTCTGTTATTTGTTCAAAGTAGCTAAGTCTTTCCTTAATTCACTTTTGTTTTAATCCTGTCATACTCCTTTTAGGCCAAGAAAATGAAAGTTCTTCTGGGATTATATTTATGCTTACTATCAGTGTAGTTCATAAGCAAACAGCAAAACCGCTTTCTCACCTTCAGCCAGCCTGGACTGAGGTGTGCTGTTGAAACAGCCGAAGCGCGCACCCTGTCTCTGCTCTGCAGCTCCTGGGATGTCTTTGTGGAGACTCGAACCCTGCATGGAAACGGTGGCTCAGGAGCCAGCATGGCTGATGCTGGATGGGTGGACTGCACGTGAGATGCTGACGTGACACGCCTCTGGTGTCTGAGAAGACGCCGTTCTCGGTCTAAGATAAAAGTGTTACTCAGGATCATCAGGTCTTAGATTTTCTTTATGCCACTTTGCCGTACCAGTAAGTGTCATCTGCTTATGTGAAATGATTCTTGGGAAGTTTAGTCAAGAGAATTTCCTTTCAGTAAGAAAGTGCTCGTTTTAAGTATTTTTGTCTTAGTCTTAGGCAGGGTGTAAAACTCATTTCTGCACAGGAATGTGTACTAAGAAGCATTCCTGAAGAAAATAAATATTTTCCCTTTGAAATAACCTATTGTATACAAAGAACATTTTCTTTTTCCTAATTTATGAACCTCAGGCAGAATATCTAAACAGTGGCAGCTAAATATAAGTAACATAGCTTCCCATGGTGGTAGTAAACGACGGGTTTGAAAACGGTGGAGTCAGTGACACTAGAACACCTTAGGATGGACGG